TCGTCGAAGGCACTTTCCTATTTCCAAAGGTTTAAAGAAGAAAATTAATTTTTGAAAATTTTTAGGGGGTGTACCAAAGTTTTGGAGGTTGTTATGTAAAAGAAAAGCAGCAAGGAAAATGACACCTCGAAGCAACAGAACATAGGAAATCAACCATGTAAACGACTCAAAATTCGTGTTTCCGCGGCAAAACCTTATGCATGCATATACATTATTCAGCTCTGTCTGCCAACACAAAATTGGCGGTTGGTTGTGCATTTATTGTTATCTTCCCCAATACTCTGTAATTTTGTTAGTGCCAAATCACCAAAGAAATTAAAAATGAAGATAAAAACCAAAGTTTTCCAAGGAAGCTAAATGTTTCCACTTAAATCTTTGAGGACTCTAACAAAGATAACAACATCTTTGAAAGGATCCTTTAAGATCTTTGAAAGATCCTTGTTTTGTTCTAAAGGATCTATCTTCAAGGATCCTTGCACAGATCTTGTGGAGATCTGGACAAAGATCCCTGTGAGATTCTTATCAAATCCTCAAGGATCCTAGCAAAGATCTTAATAAGATTTTTGAAAGCATCCTTTTAAGATCTTTAAAGATCCTCATTTTTTCCATGAAGATCTTAAAGTATCCTAAAAACAAAGAGATTGATAAGATATCTTACCTTTCAAATATATATTTGAAAGGATCCTTTAAGATCTTTGAAAGATCCTCATTTTTTCTTCAAATATCTTGTAGGATCCTTACAAAGATCTTGAAAAGATCTTGATATGGATCCTTGTAAGATCCTCATTAAATCCTTGAGGATCTTACCAAAGATCTTAAAGAAGATCTTGGAAAGGATCCTTTCAAGATCTCTGAAAGATCCTTGGTTTTTCTTCAAAGATCTTGTAGGATCCTTGCATAGATCTTGAAAAGAGCTTGATAAGGATCCTTGTAAGATCCACATTAAATCCTTGAGGATCTTAGCAAAGATCTTGAAAAGATCTTGCAAAGGATCCTTTTAAGATCTTGCAAAGGATCCTTTTAAGATCTTTGAAAGATCCTTGGCTCATCTTCAAAGACCTTGTAAGATTCCTTGCAAAGATCTTGCAATGATCTTGCAAAGATCTTGATAAGGATCCTTGTAGGATCTTTATCAAATCCTTGAGGATCCTAGCAATTAAGATCTTATTAATTAGAACCTTAAAAGGATCCTTTTAAGATCTTTGAAAGATCCCTGTTTTTTCCTTGAGGATCTTTGGAGGATCGTGACTAAGAAGTTTGCTAGGATCTTTACAAGGATCTTTGTAGGATCCTCAGAGGATCTTCATAAAATCCTTGAGGATTTTATCAAATGATTTTGCATATAAAAATCTTTGAAGATCCTTAAAAGATCTTTCTAGGATCCTTTGAAGGTCATTGTCTTTGAGGGTCCTTGGCAGGTCTTTGACAGTTCTCAAAGATTCTTAAAGATCCTGTGAGGTTTTTCACCAGGGGAGGCCTTGATAATCATTGCTATCATGTGAAAACCTAATCCAATAATTGTTTTATTATCAATGCTTATTTGTGAGCTGCACCTGTAAAGACAAGAGTGCATAAAATTATTGTCTGTAGGTATGACGTCACTTCTACATATATAAAATCTATTGTCTGTAGGTATGAGGTAAGAGAATGTATTAATAATAATATTAATTATTGATCTCATTTGTAGGACATGCAGTTGGACGAGATGCATTTGTGGATAACAAAATGATTGTACCATTATCAGAACTGGTAATTTGAATTGTACTAAGAATGAAGGCTTCAAGGTTGAGCTTCTAATATTTATCCTTTAACAACTAGTCTGGCCTTTCACATACATCCTGAAATTTTTTGACGAGCCTTTCTTCTCCTCTGACTTAATCCTTACAACAAAACTCTGTGTTGATCAAAACTCACATGTTGTGGGTAGAACTTACCTTGTAAAGTGACTCATCTGTTTAATATCTTACAGTAAATCTTTATCGACTTCATTTGTCCTCGCTTATACCGTTGTTGTATGTAATAATATACTGTACAGTACATACAGTTGTGTGTTTTTAAGAGTCGACTGACTATTAATTTTTACCATTCTTTTAATGATGTTATCTAATTGCAAATTATAGTTTGATGACAACGTCTATCAGGCCAGAAGGAATGCTCACAAGGCCATAGAAATGTGTGTGCACATGAGTCCAGGCACTGAGGGAGTTGTTGATGCAAAGCTTGTCCCAGTGTTGGTTGGAAAACTTCTCAAAGAGGAGGATGAGATCAAGGTGTGGAAAAACACGAAACCATTTCAGCATATTTGACAATTGTTCTAAACTTATTCTGCCTCCAGGCATGGATGTACAAGACTTGAGCTTCATTG